TAAAGGATCGTGGCTATAGCCTTACCGGAACAATACGGGAAAATCGCATTCCCAAAAACTGCCCTATAGAATCGAAAGCTAATATGCAGAAACGCAAAAGGGGTGATGTAGAGTCGGTTCTCGAGAGAGAAACTGGTATTATAGTTGTAAGATGGTTGGATAACAGCGTCGTAAGTGTAGCGTCAACATGTTATGGGGTGGAACCCCATAACATGTTGACGCTACACGTGGAACAAGCTGAAATTGTGTTATGGGGTGGAACAAGCTGAAAAGAAAATCATCCAGGTTCAAAGTCTATGCCTGATTGGTAAATATAATAATGCAATGGGGGGCACCGACCTAATGGACGAAAATATAAACCGCTTTAGAATAGGAATGAGGGCAAAAAAATGGTACTGGAGCTTGATTACCTGGATGCTAGATGCGACTATACAAAATGCGTGGGTGCTACATAAAAAATCCGGCAACAAGTTGACACAGTTAGAGTTTAGGCGTGAAATTGTGCAAGCCTATCTGACCAAATACGGAGTGCCTGCAAAACAAGGTGGCCGACCGTCTAATTCACTCTCAAGTCGTTCCTTTCATAGAGTATCTGATGATATTAGATACGATGGAGTTGGGCATTTACTGGAACCAGTACCAAATAAAAAGAAAATTAGGTGTGCAGGTGAAGAATGCAGGTCGATCATGAGAACAAGATGCGCCAAATGTGAAGTAGGTTTGTGCACAAAGTGTAATGTTAAATTTCATACACAGCTATAGAAAGTTTTTTGCCGATTATCTCTCAATTTCATAGAATATTTTTTACTTTTATTTCATTCGGTTAATGTAGCCATACGAACCTAGCGTTGCCATTTGGCAACAGGCAATATTTTTAGGTTTTAATATATTTAATAATTATTTTTGTCTTTTTCTAAGTAAGTTTTGTCCATTCAATAGAGTTATTTGTATTATTTATGTAAAATAAAGATTTTCGAAAACTTCGTCCCTCATGGGTTAAATGACAACGTATTAATAAGTTTTATTTCACGAAATCTAAAGGATTTGAGTAGTTTGATTTTAGTATGGGAACTGAGAACTAAACTCAAAAAAAAATATTTTTAACTGTTTTTTGTGTCTTTAGTATTTTTTCAATAATAATAATATTTTTTAAGGTTTAAACCTAACATTACCTTACCTTATGTAAAATTTTATTTTAAAACTTTTATGTCTGGTACAAAATTGTTATAAAACTAATAGTTCTTGAGATATATGCGAAAAAAGAGAAAAAAATATTGAATTTTTTTCATATTTTGTTCAATAAATCCACATTTTATAATAAAAATAATTATCATTTGTAGTGATATTTTGGAGCGATTAATGCCGATCCGATTCAATGTTTTAACCTTGTGATATGGACGATATGAAGAGCACAAAAGGAATTTTTGGTGGCAAAGAAAGCTAATAAAATAAAAGGGAGGTACTTCAAGGTGTTACCACCCATACTGGGAACCGTTCTTAATCAACGTTTTTATCTTGCAGTTGTTAGCTGCGATATTTAATTGATAATTGGGTTGATTTTAATATATCAAAATACTCATCAGGAAGTTCGTTTCCAGTATTGTATAGAAGTTTTAATGGAGAGAATGGAACATTTCTTTTAGTAACTGTAGTGAGTATTTGCCCTCGGCAATTACATGGCGTCTTTAGTATTTGTTTGATCAGGTTGTTTGAGTATGCAGTAGTGCGAAAGACATACCTCTTGCTGAGTGATATGATTCTGTCCTTAATCTCGGTTAGATTGGCTATCTGATGTATGTGTGCTGACGGATAGTATCTGCATTTTCCCGTGCAGATTCTAAGGATTTTCCTTCAGTGGCCATGACGGTGTTAATTTGCGGCGGGTGTTAAGTGATGCGTAGACCATAGACGCATGCCTTGTAGTTGATTAACGGTCTTATAAAGGATTTGTATGTGTGCAATAATGTTTTAGTTGACGTCCTGCCATTTTACGGACAACGCTGCCAGGAGTTTAAACCTCTTCCTTATCATGTCTAGGGTGTTGTGTATGTCGGTTTTCCAGTTGAGAGTCCTACTAAAATGAACTCCCAAATAGGAAACCAAATTTCTGAGAATAGGGTCTTCACTTAGCAGTTACTCGGCCATGAATATCATGACAGTTGAAAGATTTGAATAAAGTAAGTTGTGTTTTGGAGGCATTTATAGTCACTCTCCATTTATTGCACCGCCTAATGACTCGATCTAGATAGTTTTGCACTTTTACGAATACAGACATTTGTCCACGCTCTCTATGTGGCCCTGACGTGAGGAGAGCAGTGTCATCAGCATACAGAAAAAGGATTTCCGATCTATACTGAGGGTGGGGATGTCAACGTTGTAGACTGGGTATAGTATTGAAGCAAGAATTGAGTCCTGGGGTACTCCAGCTTGTGGAGTAAAGGGTGAGGATAAAATATTGCCAACTTTGATCCGGATCGTCCGATTGGAGAGATAGGAATTTATTAGTTTAACTAAAGGTATGGAAAATCCAGCAAGATGGAGTTGTTCGACCAGGCCTGTGTGCCTGACCTGATCTAATGCCTTCTGTACATCTAGGAATTTGTCTATGACGTGTTTCCTTTCGTTAATTGATTGTGAAATGAAAGTTGTTGCTTCAACCAATGCATTTTGATTGACAATTCTGTAAGCATTTCCTTAAGGATCCTCTCATAGACATTACCTAGGGTGCTCAGAGAAATGCTCAGTTTATACGATTTAGGGTTGGTTAGGGGTTTCCCTTGTTTGGGAATCATGACTGTGCTGGCCAGTTTCCATGAGATTGGAAAATAGCTCAGCATAAGACATGCATTGATTATGTTGGTGAGTAACGGGATTATATTCTTTGGAATATTTTTGAGGCATCTTCTGTGAATGCCATCTGGGCCAGGAGATGTGTATTTACCAATGTTACACATCTGCCTGACGGTGTCCTCAGTCACAGGGGATATCATTGGGTAAGGATGAGGCTCCATATGTGACTGAGGGTAATAGAATATATCTACCACTCTCTGTTCAGCTTCCCTTTTGGATATTTCGTTGAAATTGGGGTTATTGGGGGAAACGAGTGCGGCCTGGAGTGTATTTTTAAAGACCTCGGCCTTGTCTTGCGGATTACTAAGAATGACGTTATTGATAATGAGATGTGAACGTGGTTGACTTTTTTGCTTCGTTAGGATGTTGAATTAGTTCCAGAATTTAGCACCATTTCGGTAGTCCAGGCTGGCCGTAACTCGCATACATTTATTTCAGCTTGTTTACTTCCAATCTTATCGACACCGAGATCCTGTTATACTCTGCTTTGATGACGGGGTTACGTTTTGCTTTGATTTGTCCGATGATTTTGGATGGGAGAGCTGGAGTATATAGATTATATTGTGTTATTGGAATAGCTAGGGATATTGCTTCTTGAAGAAGCTTTTTAATTTTGGAAATCCCTGTGGCAACTTGAATATGTGTTAACATGTTATCTAACTCTGGCAGATTTTGTTTAATATGTTCTTGAAGAAGTTTCCAATTTGCTTTCTTATGTAATCATGAATTTGCAATCTTACCTGTAGATAGAAGTTCTTATGGCTGGAGGAGAGTTGAAATCAGTTTAGATTAGAAGTCAAGGAGCGATTAATTAAAAAAAAAACTGCGTTTATATATTGGACGGACATGCGCTAAGAGGGCTGAAATATTGCGGAAAATAAGCATCAATCAGCTCAGATTCATAATAGGCTTTCTTACTAAATAAGCCCCAGTCAAGGGACACCTAAATATAATATGAATGCAGCTTGAAGACTTAAGAGTATCCTTTCTGATTGTGAGGCACTGGATCGCAGACAGCAAAAGCACTTTTAAAAGACTACCAGTGACTTTAAGAACATATGGCGCCCATCGACAAGACCCTGTATAAGCTGGTACAGATTTCAAGATTCTGGAATGGGTATCGTGATCAAATAGAAGATGTACAATAAGCAAATTGGCTGTAGTACGATCGACATAACAGACATCTTCCAAAGAAAAAATAAACGTTACCTCATCATCCTCATTTTGGCTTTACAACCCTGTGTGGGTCCTAGCCTCCCCAAGAATTCTCTTCCAGTCGTCCCTATCCATCGCCTTCCTTCGCCAAGCACGTATTTCCATATTTCTCATATCTTGGTCTATGTTATCTAGGAATCTTGTTCTGGGTCTTCCTTTTCTTCTTTGACCAATAGGTCTATCAAGGAGCGTTTTTCTAGCTGGGTCGGTTTGCTCCATCCGCATTACATGACCTACCCACCTCAGATGTCCTATCTTAATGTGTTTTACGATATCTGGTTCCTGGTATATTCTTAGAGTTCGAAGTTGTATCGTCTTCTCCAGACACCATTTTCATTTACCGCTCCATAGATTCGCCTCAGTATTTTTCTTTCGAAACTTCCTAATATATTTTCATTGCTTTTTGTTAAAGTCCATGTTTCTGAACCATATGTTAGGACTGGGCGTATTATTGTTTTGTAGATAAACGTTACCTTCTCCTGTCAAATATGAAAGATAACAAGAAGAAAGATATGCAGTGATTTAAAAAATTAGTCAAAAAAAATGAATCCTAAGCAAAATTAAATACATAGTAATTTTATATTTATATTATATTTTAAGGAAATATTGAAACTAGAGAATCAGTACAAAGACGAACTGTAAGTTGCCTACATTTGGCACAACTATTTGATATAAGTCAAGAGAGTCCCTCCTCTAATCTATGATATAAGTTATTCAGCCTATGATTTAATAAATTATTAGTTTAATTGATTTTTTCATGCAGAATAGTATAATTTAAATATATAAATAAACAAGTATTTAAAAAATATGTTTTCAATTTTGAATTTTATAAAATTGGAATAAATCGAATAAACACACGATTATAATCATAATAAAAATCGATTCCACTGTACCTGACATTGACAAATTTCTGTCACCGAACATTTCTCTATGACCGAAGACCGAACCTAACCTTGTTCAAAAAGAACAACAAAACAAGGAACTGTAAATTGAAATGTACTGAAGTTATTTTATTTTTTTAAAAGTAGTGCAACATAAAATGGAGGCCCTAAATAATTGTGTTCCGAAATGTAAATGTGAAAGTGAACATGAAGACGTGGTCCAATTTCTAAATGTATGTATACTTTCTGAATTTTTTGGATATATTTTGAGCAGGTGTTGGAAGGTGTAGGCCATGTATGCAACACACCTACTGAATTTATCTCTTCCTTGACCTTATTAGGAAAGGTTTTCTAAACGATCCTTAATAAAACATTAAATATTAATTAATTTATTTTTAGAATTCATGATTTGTAGAGTATTATATTTTAACAATGAGAAAAATGGTTTTACATTCTAGAGTCTGTTTCATTATTTTCCAGAAAAATGTTTAAAAAATTCTTGATTGTTTTAACATTTTTATTTGTGACTTAACAGTGGGACCATGAATCAAATGAACAAATGAGTTATGACTGAATGAATTTGTTATTTTCAGAATGAAACTGATTCCCTATATACATTCAGAGACAGGTACTTTGAGACTCACAACATAGAAGAAGCTATCAAGAAGGAAGAAGAAACAGAAAAAATTCTAACAGAAAAACTTAAAATATTTAAACAACATGAGCATTTAGTTTCAGATTTGAGTCGAGCCAAATATTGTTTCTTAAAAGGAAAATTACTGAATGTAGTCCCAAACTATAACAAAGAAGCAGAAATTCTATTGTCCAAAAGTATTAAGTTAGATCCTAAATTGGTGGATGCTTGGAATGAACTGGGAGAATGCTACTGGAAAAATGATGATTTAAAGAAAAGTATAAATTGCTTTGAAGGGGCTTTAAAAGAGGTTAGTATTTTTTCCTTCATTTATATACCTGCTAAATAGAAAGCATGCAAACACAAAACTTGTTACATTATATTGTAATTGAAAGGCAATGGAACTATAATGTTATTGATATTCTCCTGAAGAAGAGAACCAGGTTTCTTAATATAAGCAAAATTACACCACAATCTATTTTGAGATCCTCATAATGAAGGGCTAATATTTGTTTATCTTATTGTGGATATTAAAATATACCTAGGTCTAATATTTCTATGTATATTTTTATATTTTGGTTAAGAATATACAATAAATAAAATATTTTATTTTATTAATCATTTCATATTCCTATTACAAATACACTCCGCGTCATAGAAAACGGGCCAACCCAAATATTTAAAATATTTTCAAAATTATTATTTATTGCTACAAAATTAAGTATTTATTTTTTCGTATATTGAATAAATAACTTGTTTAGTATCAAATTTCATGATTATCGTAAAACATCAATCGAAAATAAAAAATTTAAGAAAAATAGGAAATTTATTGAAAAAATCAACTTACAGTTTTTAAAACAACAATGAACTGTATATTAAAAATAAAGCTGGTATCCATTTTCAGTAATGACTATTGCCACCTCGATTCTGGATGACACTCCTCATTCGATTTGGCATGGAATTTATAACGTTTTGGATATCTCTTTGGGGAAAAGTGGCCCATTCCTCAATGAGTGCCATCTGGAGCTCTCCAGGTGTTGTTGGAGCAGATATGCAACGCCTAACGCGACTTTTTAGCAGGCTCCATATATGCTCAATAGGATTTAAATCGGGGCTTTGAGCAGGCCAGTCTATTTTTTGAATACCAACCTCGTCAAAGTACTCCGTTCCTATCCTTGCTGTGTGTGGCCTTGCATTATCCTGCATTAGCAGAAATTCGTTGCCAATAAATCCAGCATAGGGCATCACATGATGTTGTACGTGGTGATTTCCGTTATGTACCTTAATGCTGTTAACGCACCTCTGTCGATCACAACGAGATCCGTATGCGCATCAAAAAAAATCTTTACCCAAAACATTACTGAACCACCACCAAAAGTAACCCGTGGTGCCCGAGTGCAACCAGCGAAACATTCTCCAGCTTGTCTGTACCATAAATAGACATTCTACACTCCTCCGTAAACAATACTTTTTTTCAATCATCTGCTGTCCAATTGATGTGCTCACAGGCAAAATCTAGTCTTCGACTTTTGTAAGCTGGGAAAGTAAGGGTCCCGTTGCTGGACTGCAAGCTGTCAAACCTTGCTCCCTTAATCTTCGCTGAATAGTAGAAAGGCTGATTGCTGGTCCTTGAGCTTGCTGTAAATAGCCTTGAAGCATGCTAGCGGTTCGTAATAGTACATTATTTGTTAACCCCCTACATTGGCCTATCTAGCCGGATTTGAACTCATTTGTTGAAAAATATTTTGTTGTAATGTAAATTTGAATGGTTGGTTTCGTCTAATGTCGTATTTTTTATCGTTTTGAGGGTTGATTAAGTTGCGTCTCTTGTCGAAAGCTATTAAATTCGAGGCTCGAGAATAATTTATAACCTTTTAAAGTGGACCATATGGGACTTTCTAAAAGGAGATTATAGTCGTTTTAATAAAGTATTGAATTTCAAATCATTAATTTCTGGCATTTCTGGGTTTTAAACCACATTCTTGTACATTTTCGTTTGTATATTATTGGAATTTATTAGAGATTTGCAATGGGGAAGTTAGAAGAGAAAAATAAAAAGCTCAAATTTTTAAGAAAGACTGCTTTAAATGACATCCAGGTAATTTTCGATTTGGGTTTTAAATCGCTATCCGATAGTTCGATCCGACCTTTATTTAAAATTAGGGTAGGAGAATTAGATTTAATTCGCGAAGAATTCTTAAAACATCACACAAATATTAACTAGCCGGTCACGGGAGGAATGAATCCTACTGCAACGCCCCTAACGAACATTTCCGAATTAGCGTTCTTAATTTGTTTATGTCACATTGTCACATGTCATCCTTTACTTTGACGGGAGGGTTGAAAAATTCTGGAAAAAACTGATTGATATAAAATAAGTTGGATAAAAAATTAAATAAAAATATTCATTTTCAGTTTTATTGTGTAGTAGTGTAACATTTTTTTTATTAATAATATATTAAATTATTTTTAATTCCTTTTACCCCCGTGCGATACGCCGATGATTAGGAATCCCCGTGTTTACGATAGGAAAATATTATTGTAGACACCAAGCTGAAATGGAATTCCCTAATTAAGAAAGGTTTTTAATCCTTCCGTCTTAATACTCTGTATGAAAAGAACAAATGCTTTCCGGTATGCAGTTTCTTTTTCATAAATTGGTAATTTTTGCCGAAGGCCCGTAGCTTTTGACAATAATATAATCCTAAGGATTTTAATATTCTCAGGTCCAATTGTTAATACCGATTATTTTACCTCAAACTTTCCAATAGTCGTTAAGGCCTTACCTTCTGAGAAATACATACGACTGTCCGATGATTTTAAGTTGGGGATATACCTTCTTCTTCTTTTTTCTTGGATAGTTGGTGAAATTTTTACGGAACCAATTTACTTCTCGGTGGGCTCTTGTTGAGTGAAGTGATATCTCATGATGCGCTTTGCTCACGATATTTCTTATCTTATCGTCGCTGTGAATTATTTTCTAAGTGTGTGTACACTTCATATTTGAGTTTTTTTCCTTAGACTATATTAAATTATATATAGTTCTACACTACCTTTAATGGTTATTAAATTCAGTGTTTAGTACCAGAAAAGTATTAAATTCAGTGAATTAAGCTGCCTTCGTCAAGATCTACTGTAAGTAATCTTTATCTACAAATATCTGGGCGAGTAATATGGTATGGTATCATAGCACCTGCCATTATCTGGACGTATCATCTATATCTTCACCTGTAGATTGCCGATTTTTTAATGTAATTGAACCATTCAAGAAATTTCTATAAATATTACCTATGAACATACAAGTCTCAGTTTTTTATTAAATAATAGTGCGAGATAGTTAATTGACTTAACCAAGTGCGGTTTGGTTTATGTTTTCATTCCTGTAACCTTTTTGTTTTTTTTTGTAAATTTAGAGTTAAGTAATTTTTGCTATCTTTTGTATTTCCTATAATTTTTGTTCATTATCTTTCCTATGATATCTCGAGATACGCCAAACTATATTTGTATATGATTGCCTTATATATCTTGGTAAATGTATTTTTTTATTACATTATTGCTTAATTTTATACATATATAACACCATTTCATAGTTGTGTATTTTTATTACCTGTGTTGCATTTAGCAGCATCATAATTTTGTGTTTAATATATTGTTATTGTTTTATGCATGTATTTTATTTGTCGGCTCCTAACAAGTTCCCTGATAAAATAATAGCTCTGAACAATTACTATCTTTAAATATTACTATGCTTTTGAACTGTAGAAAGATCAGGCTGATTAAGTTTCGTAGGCAAGTAAGTGTAATACCTAATATATTTATTATTTGTTTATATATTGCGTTGACCAGATTTATTTGATAATTTACTGTTGGTATCTTTCCTTGGATTTGATCTCTGAACCTAAATATCTTTTCTTATCTCTTTTCTTTTCTAAGGTTTTCATAATTTTCTCCTTAACCCCAAAAAATTGAGTGGCGCCCTGTTTCTATCTTCTCTTATCTTTGGTAATTTTACCTATCTATCTTTTTGTTTATTTCTGTATCTTTTCTAATATCTCTTATCCTATCTTTACCTATTTCTTCCGTTGGATCCATTCCCGGTTCCAAAAGCTAGTTTCGAACCCACGACTCGCTCTCCACCAACCATCTGGCTGCCTCCGCAGTGTATCCATTGGTTATCTGTCTAGCACCACCCAAAAAAAGATTTCCGAGGTTACAGTAGTGTTATAGTTAGTTATTAATGTTGAATTTTCGATTTATGTAAAGTAATGTACCTATCAGTTGAATTTTATAATATCAGTTACGAAATTTAAATGATTATGCTCAAATATGATAGCAAATTAAAGTAGCAGGAACATATCAGAAAGAAAAATCAAGAGCTTAAACTGAAATACAAGAATTTATATTGGTTATTAGATAGAATTACCAACGTAATTCAGGTCTATGCCCCAACATCATCTAGTGATGAAGAAAAATTAGAAGCATTCTACAAAGATCTTACTGATGCTCTAGATCTTGTCAAAGCAGCAGAAAATACCATAGTCCTCGGAGATTTTAACGCTAAAGTCGGCAAAGGACGCTGTTTGAACATTGTGGGGGAATATGGCTTGGGAAACAGAAACGAACGTGGAGATCGACTTGTCCAGTTCTGTCAAGAACACGATTTCATTATATCGAATACCCATTTTAAACTACCACCGAGAAGACTCTACACCTGGAAGTCAAATGCAGAATCAGAGGACAAAATTATTAGGAATCAAATCGACTTCATTCTAATAAAAAATCGATTTAGAAACTGCATCAAATCAGTTAAAACTTATCCAGGTGCTGACATTGGGTCCGATGACAATCCCATAGTAGCTGTAACCCAATTAAAATTAAAAAAGGTGATCAAAAAGAAGTCTCGCAAAAAGATTGATACAGCCCAACTACAAGACGAGAAAGTTAAGGAATCAGTTCAAAGACAACTGAACGAAAATTTAATTTGGGAAAATATTGGGGAAAACGTCGATGAGGGCTTAAATAAAATCGTAACGACAGTAAAAGAAATCTGTGTGAGAAATTTACAAGGCAGGTCAAAGCCAAAAAATCAGGCTTGGATGACAGATGATATACTGGATTTGATGGAACAACGGCGACTAGCAAAAACCAACGAAACACTTTACAATAGCATACAAAAAGAAATTCGACGTAAAATACGAGAAGCAAAGAGTCAACATCTACCCAAACAGTGTCATGACATTGAAGAACTCGAAAAAAGATACGACACGTTTAACATGTATAAAAAAGTAAAAGAAGCGGCTGGTATCTTCA